ACTTCTGGAACAACCTTTGGCTTCTTTATCAGTTTGAAAATAAAGTGCAGAGATTTATACTCCACAAGGTGTCACTCTAAAACAGCTGTGAAAAAAATCATCATTTTTGCTTTGAACTTTACCCAGAAGGTCAGAAACTACCCTCATTTCAAATTTAAGACTGAATTACCAGATGCTACTCAGAGCTACTGCAATGTAACAGTATAGGCAGTGGGTATTTTTTCTTGTAAATATTGTATTTCAAAACCAGTCTATTTTTAACTTATTTGCCTAGCTGAAGTGGGGAAAAATAAAAAAAAATTAAAAAAAAAGTGCCAGTTACTGTTTCAATTTGGGGGAGCATCCAGAAAGTATTTTAACAGGATACATTGCACGGTCCTTTACTCAACTACCACTGGCTCGCTGAAGAGACAAAAAACAACATCAGACCCAACAGTTTAGGTCTGCAAGATTTTCAAGCTTTTTAATAAAACACATTTTGTCTATAAACAAATTGTCCTTTTAAACAAATATGGTATAATCTTGAGACATTCAAACATCCTCCAAAAATACAAATAGTTGTCAGCAACAAAACCTCACTTTCTATGGTTCATGGGCAATCAGTGAATTAATTCTCTGGAATCTAAGAGGAGAGAATTCCCCGTAAGCCTTCTTGAAGCTAAAAAAAACTTACATTGCAACTTTTCCTGCAGTAAGTCCATGCCTTCATTGCTAACTACCTATTTTCATGAACTTTTGAGAGATCTTTGTCACATACATGAACTTTAATTGCTGTTGACCACCAGGTTCAAAACATACTAGAAGAAATGTGATACAAACATGAGCAATTGTCATTTCACAGGAAACAATATTAGTATTTCAGAAAAATTAAAATCATTAATAAGAACGAAGAATGTATGGAACAGGTCTGATAGCATAAGGGAATGAGCTGTAGGTAACAATTTACACAAGATACAACAAAAGAAAGTGGAACTGATTTTGAAATATTAACACTTTTCATCCTGTGCTCAACACTGCTGAGCTCTGACACCTGTGTAGACCAATGGGCCTCTTGCACAAAAAATACATAAATTAAAAAATAAACAATCCCACATCCAAACTTACCATACCTGCTTGTATTGTACTCTGTAATAGCACTGCTTTCAAACATTTTGTTCAATCTGTCCCGACTTTTCCTGTTTTTCTGTGGCTGTATTTCATGTTAGGACCATTTCCAATAGACACACTTCAGAAAAGCTAATTTGATCAGGCCTCAAATGAGAGAAAAAGAACAATGTCTGCTTCAAAGATCTCAACAGATTTGGGCTGCTCACTTGTCATGAAACCTGCAGCTCCAGGCCCATGTCTGTATCTTTGAAGTAACTGACAACTTTACTGGTAAAAATGCAGGGGTGTCAAGGATTTAAGCTTTTTTTTTTGTTTGTTTGTATGCTGACTACAAACTTCAGAAAGCTTTTAGTTCACATAACCAGGATCTTGGAGAATCTAGTTCTTCGAAATCAAATTCATAAATCAAAACACCTCAGTATGCATTAAACTTAAAAATGTGTTTGCAGTTCTCTCACTTCTGTAAGAATTAACAAAAGCTAGAAATGTGATAAATACTTTACTTAGGGGGGAAAAAAAAATCGTTAAGGGAACTATTCTAGAAAAAACAACTCCCTTGGTCCAGACCAAGCTTGTTAAGCAACTCTGCAGCAGCTTTTACCTGGTGTGAGTACAACCACATTGAGGAGGGGCGGAGGGGAGAATCATGAAAGTGAGAATATTAAGAGCCTCATTCAAGGTTATTTGGAAATCGTATTTTTGAAGCCACAAACCAAAAACAATGACTTGGCTAGATAACCAGATTCTGAATTGTGCCATTTTTATAGCCATAATTCCATTCACAAGATGTATTAATCACACCCAATTCCACTGACAAAGGCTATTAAAGGAGAGGAAAAACAGCAGTTACCATAACAAAGACACTTCCTTCACTGTTTTTTCCATTCAAGTCACACAGAATACAATGAAGTTATTTTTTTCCTTAGTCTATATGCAGCACTCAACTCACACACTAGGCTCTCTCTCAGACTTCGTGCATATACACAGCTTCTGCTTTATACTGTATTGAATTAGCCTGTTGAAAGAAGGAAGTTCTAACTCAAAATTAAGAAAAAAACAGAAACCTGAGAAAATAGACTAAAGACTCATTAGACACAGAAGAATAAACTGATTTTTGCTACCTGCCATTTCCAGTTGGCATAAGAGACTATCAAATTGCTCTAGAATTTACCTAAATTATTTTCTTCAGTTATTAAATCCAACAAATACTAGAAAAATTTTGCTGAAAATGAGATCGCTGTTATTCTCATCCAGAAAGGCTTCTTAGTGCCTTAAAAAAAAATCTCAAAAAAAACTAGACCCCCTCCCCACACAAGATTTTCTACAGAAAGGCTGACAACCAAAAGGCAGTTACTTCTGTCAGCTGCGTAACAGCTCAGCATTCACTACAGTCTTGCCATGTACACACCCACACATTAAACACCAAGGGGATGAAACAGAAAAAAACTGTGGGCAAAATGAGTCAATCCAAACCAGAAGCTGAGCAGACCCCTTAGTTTTCTTTGAAATGATACTTAATTCAGAAAAAGATCATGCTGAATTTAGCTATTACACTGATGTCTGCAGGGTACCAGTACAGATTAGCAATTATGTGTGACAAGAGAAGGAAAACCAAGCAGGAGACAACTTGCACTCCTCAGAACTGTATCAGTGCAGCCAAAAAAAAAAAATAAAAATCTGCAATTATTCTTGCAAACAGCAAAATCAATGGGACTAACAATCTAAAAGTCCTCACAAAGAAACTAAATCCACACCTACTCACACAATACACTTATTTTAATCCCTTTCTTTACTGGCCAAAACAGCTGAGACTGTTCCAGAGGGTCAAGAGAGATCTGTCTGGATATACAGACGTTTCTCTTTGCACATCTGCTTAAGTAGGAAACAGCTATGACTCAAAGCTGTACCTTAAGAGGAAGCTGACTATTATATTCCTCATTGCCCACAACTCTAGGAAGCTGAAGACATTTTACAAGAGACTATTTTACCTGAGGTACATGAAAATCTGTTTTGTAAAAAAAAATAAATTAATACGTGCAGGCCTGTGCGTATACTTCCCCTCAAAGGCCAATCCTCTAGCTGTCTATCTTAAAGAAATTTGCAGTTGTGTGGTTTCAGAAAGAAAGGAGTTTCATACCATAGAAATACAGTTTTCTAACAGGAAGGAAAAAAACACAATTATTTTGGCCTTTATTCCTGATAATGAAAAAACAAAATTCCTAGCTCTGCCAAATCAAAGCTTGGGCAGTGTTCAAATGCTCTTGTAATAAACCAACTCAGATTCACTTGATGTTTCTATATAAAAAATACTACTCTATTGAAATGGCCTTTTTCCTACACCATACCCCTTACTCTGCTTCAGTGTGCCTGCTGCCCCAAAGGCTGAGTGCATCCTGGCTGCATCCAAAGCAGGGTGGGCAGCAGGTGAGGGAGAGGATTCTGCCCCTTTACTCTGCTCTGCTCTGCCCACCTGCAGTACTGCATCCAGCTCTGGGGGCTCCAGCACAGGAAAGCCATGGACCTGTTTGAGCAGCTCTGATGGAGAGCCACAAACATAATCACAGGGCAGGAGCACCTCTCCTATGAAAACAGCCTGAGATGACTGGGCTTTTTTTTTTTTTTCATCCTGGAGAAAAAAAAAAAACTCCAGGGAGACCTCATTGAGCCTTTCAGTACTTACAGGAGGCTTACAGGAAAGAAGGAGAGAACTTTTTACACAGGTAGACAATGACAGGACAAGGGGCAATGGTTATAAAGAAAAGAGGAGAGATTCACATTAGATATTAGGAATGAATTCTTTACTCGGAGGTTGGCACTCAACAAAGTGACCAGTGAAGATGTGGTTGCCCCATCTCTGGAAGCATACAAGGCCAGGTTGGATGGAGCTCTAAGCTACATAATTTAGTAGTTAGTGGCAACCCTGCCCATGGCACAAGGGTTTGCAACTAGATGATCTTTAAGGTTCCCTCCAACCCAAACCATTCTATGATTCTTCTAGTAAAGAAATGAGTATAAATTACACAGATGTGGAACAGACAAAGATTCCTCTTACCAAATTTCTAACCAGTTAGAACCAGATACTATACCACACACACACAAATTTCTCTCTATTTAAGTTTCCAAATCCCTTGCGAGTCAGGAGCAATGCCTACCTGTAATAGAAAGCAGACGTTGGTGACAGAGCCACAACAAACTTATTTGTTGCACTACAGAGGCTGCAACATGCACCTGCAGATTGCATTCATCCTGTCCAACCTGAACAGAACCTTTGACTTCTGCTGACCTTAGCACTTCAGATGAATTTTCACAGTGAAGAAGGCATTTCAAAGTTTACTGTACTTTTGTTCTAGAGTCTTAGAGGCCAGAGGCATCTTGTTACCGCCTTAAAAGAACTGATGTGGCTGCAGAAAGTGAGAGACAACATCTCTTCTTACAAATGGTCTCACTTAGGTACCTAGTGAGATTTTCAAAATAGAGAAAATTATCCTGAGTATTTCAAGTAATTTAGGAAAAAAGAAAACAACATATACATAAACCAACCCACCCCAACATGGTCAGGGTGAAGAGAGTTAAATGCAAATTGAGCTTAAATTAAATTAGGAAGTCTCAGTGACTTCAATATGATTCCATCCCTCCTCCCCTTCCACACACTCACATTCTCACACACTCCCCTCAGTAAAGCCAATTAGGTAGGAACCAGGCCTTCCTTCCCACCACATCAGTAAGGCAACGGTGCTATTAGCTCCAGCAAATACTCCACTCATAGACTGTACTAGCCAAACAATTAAGTCACTCCATAATTTAAAAAGTACCCAGAAGCAACTTTGCATATGCACTAGTTTTTTCAAAGCACAATGGAAAGTTGGCACATACTGCATTTACAAGAGCTGCAATCTGGTTTAAACATGAGTTTATTTTAAAAATTTTCAGCTCTCATCTGTAGGCTACTCCAGAACCCAGTGAATTAGTATATAGTTACTATTTATTGGAAAGCTTCCTTCTTTAGGGCACCTTAACCACCACTCAGTAGTTTGCTGAAATTGTGAAAAGAACTGAACCATCAATCTTCACTACAGGCAACTATCCACAGGTGTACAGGATCTGTAATGTGAAGTATTCAGGAAGAACTTTTAAATTTTGATATACAGACCTCCAATGAATCAAATATTCTGCAGTTTACAGAAAATTTAAGTAAATAGCAGCCATATAACAGAGAGATTTTTACAGGTACTTACAATACACTTAGCATCATGTCATGAGCTTAGGTGTGCTTTTTTCCCTTTGTCTTCTTTCAGATACACATGGATTTTAAAGCATCTCAACCAGATTTTTAAAGGAAATCAGACACTACACAGGTTAAACAACATGGTTCTATTAAAAACTATCTTTAACCATGGCACTCAGTGACAGCAATACAATACTTTTTTCCACAAAGCAACTAATATAAAAATATGCCATAAAATCATCTGTAGACTAGTATGCTAGTACATACATATAATCATAACATTCTTTTATAAACTCTTTCCTGAGATACCTTGGGTTGTTTGATTTTCTTGTATTACTGGATGCATTATCTTTATGATTCATCTAAAACAATTGCAAAATATTTTGAATGTGCAGGACACTCAATAACATGTAGAAAGTAGTACGTAAATATATGGCAAAGAAACAGCTCTTAGAAATTTTTTACTTCGTTATATTTTTTAACATTTGGCTCCTTGGGAGACAGAAGGATGGTGCATGAAAAACCTGAAATTAGAGCTATGAACTGACAAAAAGCAGGAAAGCATTCAGGAATGTTAGGAGTTGGAATATATTATAAATGACACAAAGAGAAAGCCATAAGTCATGTTGGCTATGTATTGTCTTATAAAGCAACTGGACATATCTTAGTTCACAGTATAATAAATATTTTTACTAATCTGTTTTGGAAGAACAAATGTCTTTTAGGGTTTCAAGCTCCTGTATAAGTTTCTTGTTCTGAACTTCTAGCACTGCAACACGACTCTCCAGACATTTTATGTATTCTTTCTTCCGACGTCGACATTCTTTAGCAGCTTCCCTGCAAAAAGCAGAAGTAAAAAGTGCAAACAAAAAAGCCATTTGCATGCCATTAGAAAGCTCAGCAGAGTATGGAGACTATGACAGAATTCCAAATTTTGGAATATCTCCCAAATCAGTCTGAAAACACTAAGCAAAACTGGGTTCCACAAGGGCCTCATGTGTCTCTTTCTCAAGTTCATATGGCAATCTGTAGAATTGCTTCCTCTCATGCCTTGATTAAAGTTCATAATAAAGGAGGTCCAAATGAAAGACAGTTATTCTGCTTTATGACAATAAAGATCTTTGAGGGCCTTGAGTTCCTCAATGAGAGTCTTGTTTTGGTTTTCAAGCACAGCCACACGATTTTCAAGACATTTGACATATTCTTTCTTCTTTCTGCGACATTCTCTGGCAGCTTCCCTGGAACCAATACAAGGCAAATGACTACAGGAACAGCCACAATATGGCAAAGACTGGATAAATGCAATTACCTGCAATCCCTGTGGTTCCACAATAATAACAACCACCACCACCACCAGCTGGATTGCACAAACAGAACATCGGATAACAGCCAAAAGCAGTAACATAAGTTAAAATATAATCCAAAACATCTAGAACTTGAAACGCATCCAGCATCACCAAATACAAAGATGGAACCAATACACAGAAGAACTGAGAAAAACAGGGAGTAAATTATAATGTATTGACTTGAATTGTACTAAACATTAGGATGGAAAGCAGAATTTCTTCTTCCAGTCACATTCTACTTCGTGTGTTTATCAGGAGCATTGTCTTCTGCCATCAAAATCTTAAAACCAAACCCAGAGAATACACTTTCAGAAAACACAAACATAACCCTACTCTCTTCAGATACAAAACTAGATACCAAGCTTACATGAAGATAAAAATTTACAGCATGTTGTAACAATATACAGTACAATTTAAGCCCAAACAAATAAAATTTATTAGCATTTCAGGACTGGCTGCCTGAGCACATGTCAGCCACATAAGCCTGTGCTGGCAAATGACAGCCTGAAGCCACTCTTATAGTTCTGCTATAAGTCTCTTATATTGGAGTTAAATGCTTTGGCTAGCATGTTCAGAAGTTTAGTGTGACTAAACAAGCATTCAATTCCAGAGGAAATATTAGAAGTTTTGGGAGTCCTCCTTTACCACCTTGGAACATGATAAACTATCAAACTGTGAATTCCAGCAAATTATGAGCTATAGCATAGGCACTAGTTTTAAAACTGAAGAGAGAAGAAACGAAAGAGGCACAACAATGCAGTGATCCTCGTAAGTAATTTAAAATAAAAGACAGGCATGAGAGCAAAGCAATACTATTAATTCAATCATAAGACAAGTGGTTAAGCAGTGGATTAGAGATCTGCAGAGCAAACTATTTCTACTATTAATCTGCCAATGACAGAGGTGGCTACACATTTTAAAAAGACAGACTCCCCTAAGAATAGCAAGAAGAATGTACAGAGAAAGACTGACATTTACAACAGTCAGTCAAGTCCATGACAACTAATTAAAAAATGCACAATATGACTCACAAAATGACCGGGCACTGGAAAGTATCTCATCCCAGCAGCCAAGTATTTAAGAAAGTCTATAATTATCATTCCATCTTTGAATAAGTCCTCTTCACAGCATCATTAATGGACAGCTGCTAATGAGATCCTCAGCTATTTTCCTAACCAATTCATTGCTGGGATATTTTAAAATTAAAAAATCCCTACTGATGACCCTACTGGTTATTTTACTGTCAGTAGTGGGAGAGGACAGGAAGTAAAATTCAACAAAAAGTATAACTCTAGGTCATCACAAAAATTACCTGATACTGATTTCTGAATCGCCTAATATTTTCTAATTAAAAATCCATGGGTATAAGGTCAACTCTAATCTTCCAGAGTTAACAGCCAATACTCTATTCTAGAAGGACATGGGATGACAGACAATTTCCTGCCTTCCCTTCATCAATTACAGGCAGTGCTCATGACCTTAGGAAGAAAACTTCACTCTAATGTTCAGGGGGGGTGGTTTGCAACACTGACTATGAATTATTATATAGTCTTACCTATTTTTCAAAAGTCTCAGCTCTCTCTTGCGTGTTGCCTCTTCCGCCATTTGCTGAGGGCTATGCAAAGTCCCTGGTGAGGCTGCCATAACCACTCCCTGAGGCAAGGTAGTAGTAGGAGTTCGAATCTGGTAAGCTGGCATGTCTCCAGTGGCAGCTGTATAAAAGAAACATATTTTAAAATGTATGGCAAAAAAAGAGGTATATCTGAAAATAACAGATTTCTGAGAATGATTTATCCAGGATCGCAGATACGTAAATTATTTCACAGGTCTGTAATGACACAACTATATTTTAAATCTTAATTAAGTTTATTTCCAGACTGTAAAGTATCTGAATTGCTCTAGCATACGACCCCACTAGCCAGCCAGACTGAAAGCTTCCACATGGCTCTCTTCAGGTAACATGGGGAAAGCAGTCTGAGAAACATTTCGAGCAGTCACACTTATTTCCTGTTTGCACAATCCCAAAAAAGAGGGTCCATGCTGTTGCAGCCACTGAGGGTTACATGCTACCCTCAGTAGCATGTAACCTGTACAGGACTTAATTTGCTTCAGAAGACAACTCTTTCCTTCTTCCTTGTGATAGCAGCAGTACCAGCTTACAGCCTCTCCTCCTATCACAACACCCATTTGGCAACTCTTGGATAAGGAGTGAGAGCTGCTGTAGCTGAAATATAAAATGCTCAGGATGTACATGCGTTTGTTCCCTGGGCAAGAGGAACACACATGGGATGCTGCAGCATTAGCAAGCAACAGGAGGCAGTGGCTGTTACACAGGAAGGGGTGTAGCTGCACAGTAAATCAGAGAGCAAAAGTTCAGATCCAGCTCCCGAGCTTAGCAGTTTTGTGCTCTCCCCAAGCTAAATGCTGATCTGATGTGACTTGAAACCAACACCTATCTGGCAGTCTCACGTCATTTCTTTGTTTCAGACGTACTCTTCCCCTATGTGATGTACCTCAACTTAAAAACACTGGGGAAATCCTAAGTACTTGTGTCTTGTCTGACAGAAAACAAAAGCAAACAAAAAATATATTCGTCTTTACATTATAAGCAAGTATTTACCTATTCCTTTCCATAAATATTTTATATTATGATAGAACAAAACTTCAAATTTTGTCATTAAAGCTAAAAGTATATAGCTAAAGTATACAGGTGATGTTTCAGAGGCTACTATGTTACACTTAGTTTATACTTTAATTCTTTAAAGCATTATTCAAATAATGGAAAAACATGTCTCACAGTTTAACCCCAGCCTGCAACTAAGCATCACACAGTCACTTGTTCACTCCACCCACACAGCTCCCAATGTAGGATGAGGTAAGAATTCACAGGCTGAGATGGGAACAGTTTAATGAAAATAAAATAAAATAAAATAATAAATGTAATAAAAAGGAAAATAACAAAAAGAAAGATAAATAAAAACAAGAAAAATAACTGACACAAATTAAAAGCAATTGTTCACCACTCACCAACTGATTCCCAGCCTGTGGCTGAGCAGCAGGCCCCAGGCCACAGTTTATATGCTGAGCATGATGCCTTATGGTATGGAATATCCCTTTGGCTATCTGGGGTCAGCTGTTCTGACTGTGATCCCTCACAGCTTTGTGTGCACCCCCAGCCTACTCACTGGCAGAGCATGAGAAGCTGGACTTAGTGCAAGTACTGCTGAGCAACAAGCAAACCAAGAGTGTGCTATCAACATCTCTCTCCACCTAAAACCAAAACACAGCACTAATAATATACCAGCTAATAGGAAGAAAATTAACTCTATTCCAACTGACAGTGGGACAACCTGGAAAAATAAAATGTAGACGAAAACATCTTGGGCAGGCTGACAGGTTGAGCTGTTAAGAAACATCAGTTAACTACAGCGGGGAAAAAATTAAACAATAAAAATATACTATTGTTCTTACTATATTAATGCAAGTACTTCATTAATTCAAAACAAAGAAATAGAATCAAGTTGTGTTTAGACCACAATTCCACAGCCATGTCCTGAAATCATTATCAGCTTAAATCCCATGCACCTCCCCCTGCCTCAGTCCTGTGGGTAAAAGTGTTTGTGGAATTACAAGATGAACTGGACCAGTGAACTGACCTGGATAATCCCCCGGGGATGTGGAGGGAGGGAGAAATCAGCCCAGAACAGTCCTGTGAGCACTGACAGGCAGCTGCCATGAACACAGGGCTTGGTCATCTTGTACATCTACAGAGGAATTGCTTAACCCTTTAAGTCCTCCACATTTCTTAGCAGTCCCAATCACATCAATAGAATGATACCTCAGCTCACTAACTATATCAATAGAATTTTAGCAGCTCTTCAGGCTCACCTTTAAGCTGGCCACATTACATACATTTTACAGACTCCATGGTAAGAACTACCTTTTTCTATCTCATCACTAGGTATTAAAGAGATGTTATCTTTGTTTGCCTTATCTACAAAGAACTAGAAATCCAAGCAAAACCATTTTGTAGATCAGATCATGGGGAAAGCTCCACAACCCAGATCACCTCAGATGGCAAGACCTTTGCTGTTTGTGTCTGAATTATGTTCAGACGGCAGCAAACAGGACTTACTGCAGCTTTTGTACAGAAGACTCAATGTGATCATGCACCTCCAGCAAGACTAAACAAAATCCAGTCCCTATCTCAGCAGGGATCACCAAACACCATTGGTAAGTATTCTAGTCTGAGCAGGTCCCAGTGGTGGCAGTCTCTGTCTGACTGTTATTTTACCTATAAACCTGCCAACATAGGAACACAGATAAATAACTATTCTGGTGGTACAGACCTTGCAAATCCAGACACCACTGTTTAGAAACAAGAAAAAAGCATAGCACTGACAAAGTATCTTTTACCTATGCAATAATATATGCTTAATGATACACGATTGCAAAAAATATTTCAAAGACTGAAAAATGTTTTGTATATTATCTGAAGAAATTACAGTGTAACTGATTTTCCCAGAAAAAGACCTTTGGAAAGATGAAACAGGCTTTAAACAGAGTGGGACAGACTTACTTTATTTCAAAGTTATTTTAAGCCTAGTTATGTATCTATATTACAGTGAAGCATATCTTCCATTTCAGCATCTGAGACAAATGTCACACATACTTCACCCAGACTGACAAACTTCTGTGGCTGTTTCTAATGACACTTCACAAAGGTTTAATGTAATTCCTAAGGCACCAGAAGTAGAACTGAGAATATTAACAAAGCAACAAACCAGGAGTTGGTGCATTTCCCTAACACATTGCCCCAGGTAATTTATTTTTTTTTGACTCCTTAAAATGCAAGGGAATAAAAAGTCACTGAAAACCTGAAGCTTTTAGTTGAGACTTACAAAAAGAAAATTAAGAAAGCCAAAAGACAGCTAGTGAAAAAAAAAAAAAACCAACCTGCATTTTAAACAAATAAAGCAACCAACTAAAAGAAGTAACTTGCTGAACACTAGAGAGCATCCCAGCACCCCTTCAGTGACTACCCAGGAGAAAAAATGCCCGATGTATTTGGATGCCTATTCTCCCCCTCTGTGAGTCATAACAGTGGGACTTGATTATCAAAGGGTTTTTAATTTCACCACTAAACTGGCTACACAACACATGAATCATTATCCCTTTGAGCATTAAAAACATCGACCTGGAGAAGATATTTATCTTTGGATTAATGAAACAACGTGCGCCAGCACTGAGCAGCAGCACGTAGGAGCCGGCAGGGAAGTAGTTAATGTTACCAAGCTGCCGGAGGCAATTGACGAGGCAGAAAGGAACTGACTAAATTCGCAGCATGACTTGGAGCTGACGTCAATGTGTATCTTGTTTGGAGTTTAACTTTTCCAGTTCCCTACTGCAACACGATTCCAGGAAATCTAATGACGTCAGCCTTTTGAACTCAATTAGCCGAGGAACAGACCATTTTAACAGTGCAGGAGAAAACAAGCAGGCATTACAATACTTCAATTATTACCCTCAAATTTGTTTCCATTCAGTGTTTTTTTAATAATGGAAGCATAGGGTTGAATTGCACTGCTGAAACAATTTCTATCCAGCTAGGCTTAAGCCCATGGCTATCAAATTTGTAGCGTCTACTACTTAATAAAAAGGGCAGTTGTCATTTTTACAAAACAGAAAGCAATGATAAACACACTAACATATGACTATCACTACAATAAAGAAAAATGCAAAAGTAGAGTGGTGGATTGTTTTCAGCAAAATCCTGCATGAAATAATAAAGAACAGTTACTGAATCAATCTGTGCAAGAACTCCTGCACTAACAGTGATTTTTTTTTTTCCCCCTCAAATGAAACTGTTAAAATTCCCCTGGAATACTACACTAAGTAGATAGAATTAGAAACTATTTGTATGCCGTTAGAGAGATGAAAGAATTACAGCAACAGGTTCAAAAGAAAATGTCAGAAATACTAACTAAACACTGCACAGATATACAAAAATACCATGTCAAAGGCTAACAAAATTCTTACCTGTTTCATCTCCTGTTACAGCCATGATCAACTTCTGCACACACGATTCTGCTGTTCCTCTACCAGAGCTCAGCATGAACTGTTCCAAACTACCAAGCATGTGCGGGATTACAAGCAAGAGCACTGACATCACAATGACCTCACTTGCTTACCACTGTCATTAACATGCTCCATCACTGGAACAGCTCACTAAAACTGCAGTCCAAAGAATTCCTTTTCCAGTAAACCTGCTTTTTTTATTTCCTCTTCCATATTGCTATAATCCTAGCTTTGTTCTTTTCCCTGAATTATTCATAAAGCTAGAGAAAGCACTCACCACAAAGCAGGCTGTTAAGAAAGACCTGGAAAATCCCAGCTGACTGACAGAAATTAAAACGTGGCTGTAGCATTCATGAATGAATCCAAATGATAAAGTCATGATTGGATAGAAAATAAGGCAATTTAAAACAGACATGCAGTTGTTTTCATTGGAACAATTCCACTAAAAGTCAGAGAACTGTGTTGGACAGACATGCAAGGCAGGAAAGCTTAATAAGCTGTAATAAATAGGTAAATGAAAGGCTAGAGCTCCTTGCGTTGCAGGAAAACCCACAACCCACTCATTTAATTTCAGTTAAAAGCTTCAGAAATTCTTAAGGAGCACTCCAACAAATTAAGTCAACCTAATACCAGTGATTTCATATTCTGTAACAAGCAGAACAGTAACTCTGGGTAAAGGCTACCTCTTCCCCCTTCCCTCATTTTTCAAAATATGTCCAAGAGATCTAGTTGACTTAATTTTAAAATATTAATTTTTTTTTTTTTTAAAAAAAGCAACTTAGCTGTAAGAGCTGTAAGAGAGTTACTCCTTCTTTGCATCAATGTAAATGAAATTAGTTTCAGACCAAGAGTCTGGTTTGTATGTAGGGCACAGCAAACTTCTAAGGTCTTTGTAATAAACAAATTCAGCCTGGTAATTTACAAACTGTGAAATTGTGCTGGATGGCAGCAGTGGAAGCTTCAATGTTTGCACTGATATTCTGTGTTTTACATCCTGTGTTTACAGGAGTGTCCTGTGATTACTAGAACACTTCAGGATGATATGTACAGAAGATCAGAACTAAAGCACAAGAAATTAAAGACACAGATTTCAAATATCACTAACAATATAATGAAACCACACATAGATCCCAACAGAATGATTTTTTTTATATAACTTTTCTACATTCACTTTGACTAACAGTCCAACACTTCCTTATTCAGCTACAAAAAAAAAAAAATCCTTAACCTTTAATGTACTAGGAAACTGCCCAAACACTAGAACTGCCTCTTATTTTGCCAACAAATGTAAACTTGTAGCAAATATAATGTCACTCAATTGGATCAATACATTTGGTACTTTTATCCTAACTTTTTTCCACACCACAGGTTATCAGAAAATACTAAGCACAGGGTTTATTCATGTGATCTTATCCATTATTACATGAGATTCATTAAGAAATACTTTAGAAAAAAACATCAATACATATGCTATCTGAAAGATTCTGAAACAGTATCTGAAACAGATCTTTTCTGTTTCCAGGTATTTGTTACATTATTTTATTCTTCTGTGATTAAAATACATATATATATATGCTGACTACCCAAAATCATATAAAAATACATATAAAAGTGTTAAGATTACTAAGCAGAAAAAAATTTCTATCAGTAACTGCCTCTGAATCCATTTACAAAGTTTCCATCCCAGGCAAAACACTTAATGGGCAATTCCATCTTGTGGAGCCTTATTGTTGGGACTGGGTAGCCTGGCCAGAGAACAGTTCTGTAATGGAGAGTCTGTAAAGGAAAGTCAGTCAAATGGAATTCCCAAGGACGGAAATGATGCCAGATAAAATCCTCAAATGCTGTGCTTCTTCACAGACTTGGGAAGTTTTAGGAAGCAGTTGAGGAGTTATTCTTTCTGCCCCTGACGCCAAAGCTCTGAATAATCAAAGCAATACCTATAAAATACTACAGTCAACCTGGAGAGATGGAGGCGGCCTCTGATTGAAGGGATGTGTAGGCACACACAGAGAAAACGCATTAGACTCATACTCAGAAAAACATGCAGTACTAGAGTGGGAAATTGGTTTGGGGGACAGCCAAATTTGGGTCTTAAGGCTTTGTTAAGAATGTATTCATAATGACATTTAGGGAATTTGTAACAATACTCTAAACAATAAAAACTAACATTTGGCAAAGGTGTTTTCATTTTACAGTCTTAAAGCACTTGAAATGCTTCTGGGAAGTCTTGGGACAATAATGCATTTCAGCATTTATTGGATGACCCTCATCCACTCCATGAACACATATCTAAATCCTTTCTAGCTCTTCTCATGGCTTATTTCAGATAGCTGTTTTGGCTAAAGAAAGTATCCATACAGCCTTCCCTCCATACTTCTCTGTGTCAATAAAATAATTTCTTTTTATATTCTGTATATCCTCCACAGCTAATAATTTAGTGTCTCCATAGAGAAATCTCTCTCCCATTTTCAAAGGTTTTCATCACATCACGTGTGCACTTTGTAGGACCAACAAAGTGTTCCTCTGCAAGAAAACTAGCTTCAGTAAAAGATCTGCCTTCTAGTAACTGCAAGAGCTGTAAGTTGCAAGGAAATTCTGCCCTAAACATATCCCAAAATCTTCAGAATTTGTGTTGTATTAACATTAGCTGCTGAAAAAAACAAATTACTTTAATATATTAAATGATGTGCACCTTCACACCTGAAGTGAGATGCTTCTCACTTCAATCTGTAAGAGTATCTTTATTCCAATTAAACTTGTCTCAAAATCTGGACAAGAGAATCCAAATCAGAAAAGTGATGTTATGCTGCTATTTCATTCTTTTTAACCAAACATAGTAGCTGTCTTACTAAGCAGAGAACATGAATCCCTTCCTAAGCCTCTTTCATCTTGCTATGAGTATTTTAATTAATAATGCAATACTATTACAAATAGTGCAATACTACAAACAAAATAAGAAATCTTTTAAGAAAAATTGTTTAATATGAAAAAAACAAAAATGGAATAGACAAATAAAATATACCTTGAACAACAACTTGACTTCCAGGAACAAAAAACTGTTGCGTGCCATCAGATGACTGTGCTGCATATTGCACAATGGTAGCGCCTGGCTGAGGAGCTCCTGAATTTGTCAGAGTCTGAATTGTACCACCTTGAGATATGGTAACTAAATAGAAGAAAAAAAGAAAAAAATAGTTAGGCAATAGAAACACATAACACATTCTAAAAAATATGAAATAAACATTGTCTTACAGGACTGCTGGTCCTCTCCTTGCTTAAGGATCAATTGTATGATAAAACCTAGGTAATAATAATACTGACTTCCACAAATATAAAGCCTGTTGTATAGTATATGCCATGCATATAACAGATAAAAAGCAGGGTTCAACACATTTTATCTCTGTTTCCAGAAATATTAACTCTACTAAAATAGTTTAAAGATCGGGGGAAAAAATAATAGCTCCTAGCCATATAAAAGTGTTGTTTAAAATACTAATACAGAAGTTATTTTTAAAAAAATATTTAAGAAAGCTGTTTTTTGACTTTCACAAAACAAAAATCAGGACACCAAGACAAAGGAAGAGAAAGTTGGCTAACAGTAACAACCCTTTCCTTAGTGTAAGAAGAATTTTAGCACATTTAACCAGGTTGTACACAGTTGTATGGAGTCCAATCCTCACGTAAAAAGAGAAACAGAATAAAGTGGGGTTCTTCCTTCAATGTAGTAGCAATATGAAAAAAACAAATATACTTTCCCCATTAAAAAAATCATACTGCATTCTTGCTATAATCAAGTATTTATAAAAATGCAATTCCCTAGAGACATTATTAATTGTATATTCCTTTTGAAGTTAGCATTGCCTTTGTTAAACACAGAAATATCTTCAGTCATAGAATGGCTCGAGTTGGAAGGAACCTTCAAGATTATGTACCTCTAATTCCCCTGCCATGGGCAGAGGCACCTTCCACTAAATCAAGTTGCTCAGAGCTTCCCCATCCAACCTGGCCTTGAACACTTCCTGGGATGGGGCATCCACAGCTTTTCTGGGCAACCTGCTCCAGTGCCTTGCCACCCTCAAAGTGAAGATTTCATCCTAATATCTAAACTAAGATGCATCTATCCTCTCTAAAGCTGCTGCCCCTCATCCTATCGTTATGCTCCCTGATAAGGAGCATATCTTTATCTCCCTATCTTTTCTGTAGGCCCCCCGGAAGTACTGGAAGGCTACTGCAAGGTCTCTCAAGAGCCTTCTTTTTTCCAGGCTAATTAATCCCAAACCTGTCAATCTGTCTTCATAGGAAAGGCCTCCAGCCTCTGATAATCATCATGGCCCCGCTCTGGATCTTTTCAAGGATGTCCATGTCTGTCTTGTGCTGGAAACTCAAGACCTGGATGCAGCACTCCAGGTGGGGTCTCACCAGAGCAGAGGGGCAGAATCCCACCCCTCGATCTGCTGCCGACACTGCTCTAGATGCAGCCTAAGATCTGGCTGGCTTTCTGGGCTGCAAGCACACATTGCCAGCTCATACTTAGTGTTTCAGCTACCATCACATCCAAATCTTCTCAGTCCACTCATTGCTCAGCCTGTATCCACATTTAGGATTGCCGCAACCCATACACAGGACCTTGCACTTGGCCTTATAATGAAATTTGCATGAGTCCACCTCTCTACTCTGTCAGACTCCCTTTGGATGGGATCCCTTCTCTCTACTGAGCTTTGAGTATCAACTGTATCATTAAGCCTGGTGTCACCTGCAAACTTTCTGAAGGTGCATTCAACCCCACCTTCAACATCTCCAGTAAATACTGGTCCCAAACCAGATCTCTGAAGGACAGTACTCATCACTGGCCTCCACCAGGAGCTCTTTGAGCCAATTCCTTATCTATCAAGTGATTCACCAGCCCAATCCATATGTCCTATGTTAATTAAAACAATCTTGAAACTTTTAGCTGAGAGCCCCATTTCCAGGAAGTAAAAACTCCTTTCTCCCCCAAAAGATATTTAAACAATGAACTATGAGTGTACTTAAAGTGATCTGAGATTACAAAAGTCAGACATAAAAAAAGATTCAGGCTTGCCAACTCCTCTGAATTCATTGTCAGATTACAGTATTTGATGCCATTCTTGAAGGTTCAGCTCTGCTTATCTCAATACAGGATTTGTTAGATACCTATGTGAATTTTAGAGATTGCTGATTTCTAATGTTCTGTTTTGACAAAAGTAGGTTATCTCAAAAGTTCAATTTCAGATATAAACACTTGAAAGAAACTGAGGTTGCCAAATCCTAACAGCTGAATTAGCTTCTTTTGGGGAAAACATGGAATTTCTCTCATGCTAAATTAAGTTCAGAGCCTTATCTGCAATACTGAAACAGAGTTCAGCATGGACCTCCAGTCCTGCCTTTGGAACAAAGAATGTAACATAGGAATTAGTTGGGTGCTGCACATAGGCTCCATAAGGCATTGAGAAGGGGAAGAGTGTGGCAGGGTGTAGACTGCAAGATGTTTCAGTCTAGCCTCCAAAGCACAAAGTGCCCATTTTAGGGCAGGACAAAAGAGAGAGAAGAAAAGTAAAGCATTGTATCCTCTACTCTTCACAAAGTCCAGGACAAGAGTAACAAGGTTTGTCAACTCTACCTCCCAGAGAAGCTACAGAGAGCCAAATTCTGCCTCTCAGAGTTAGCACCAGGAATGGTAGATCTACAACATCACAGAACCACACCACATAAACCCCAGTCAGTTTGGCTTCCTAAGAAGTAAAATATCAGCACAGACTGATAAAAAGCTCTTGGCTCCACAGTGAACCTGGGTAAACAATTATGTCACAGCTGTCCTGCAATTATTCATTCAGATTCCAATCCAGTGCTTTATAAACAAAAGTGAATTAACTCCAGTAACTGCTTCCCTTACAGGACTGATTCCTGCCATATTCCCAGAACAATTCTCTGCCCATCCCCCGATTCACTGTCCTGATCTTAAGCACTGCACACACTTTGTTGTGCTGGAGCTCTGCTGAAATCTGGGTCTTTTATGACGAATACAGGACTTTCCTAGACAGTCCCTGTAGCTGAACGTCATGTAGGTGGATGGACGCAAGTGGCATCTTCTCTTCCAGCTAGAAGACAGTACTAATACCACTCTCTGAGTATGATCATCAGCTCTAATCCAGAAAAAAAAAACAAAAACAGGTCTTTTTCCCTTCCAAAACTGGATATGGAACTAAAGTTAGTCTATCCCGAAAGATTTCTTAATTGTCCAATTGTTAAAAGTCTGTTCTAAGACAGCAAGTAACCCAAAAAATAGTGAAAGATCTAATAATTTTCATTCCCCCTGCATTTTTTTCATGCAGATCATCATGATATGCACAAGGAAGCAGGGGGATGGGAAAGTTGATTCACACACTCCAACTGAATGAACAACTCTTGCACATTAGACCACTAACACAGGTGAGGAACTAATAATTTTGTTCAGTATTAAATTAAACCAACATGACAGAACTACAGCCAACAGAGTAGGTGTGTAGTCAGATGAGAATACAAGGCTCCTACACAAGACAGCACCTTGTGCAAAACTACCCGTTTCCCTGACAGAAAAAATCACACATATGTTGATGGAGGTAGCTGGCAAAGACATTTTATCTGGTCATGTCAGTCTGTCTGCTTCCATAAGCCAAGAAGTTCCAAGGAAAGAGATATTTGGAAACCATGGCAACATACCATTTTGGCTGGTGAAAAGAAAGTAGAGAACAGCCATCAATGCTGCTAATAGACAAAAATACATTTGTTTTCCAGAAAAATTTACTTATCAAGTTCTTCCATAAAGAGTCATCCCAGACATCCAGACACACAGTCAAAATAATCTTCTCAACTAAACTGCCTTTCCTTTGCAGGAAAGAGAGAGAAAAGTAGAGAAAAAAAGGAACCAGCCAATGTAGTAACAAACACTTCTTTTAAACCAGGGCATAGTACAGATGGTCACAGTGATACCACAAAGCCAGTTCTTCCATGAACACTGGACAAGCTTAATGCATAAACTACTGGGTGTGGTCACAGGAGAACCTGTGCAGCCCATTCTGGCCAGGGAGAGAAGGGTCCTCAGGCACAGGCAGAAGCACAGAGCAACTGACAGGAGGCGTAAAGATGAAGGAGGTACATGGAGTGACCCTCTGCATCATACACAGTCTCAAATCAACACTGGAGTAGCTACATTGCTCACCCAGTGCTCCTGGTTTTAGCTAACAGCAGTTCCTGAGGATCACAGGCAACCAACAGGATGGCTCAGAAATGCTTCAGAACTGTGCTTCATACATGTAAAGACTAGGGGTCAACAGTGAAGCTCTCTTCAGTAAGTTCCGAATTAAGACCCCCTCTATTACAAGGAAATTACCATCCTTGCTACCACCTGGCCTAACCAGAATTAAAATACACAGATTTTGCTGAGGCAAAAAATATTTTAACTTATGAAAATGAACTTAAAAAAAAACCAACAAATTAATCAACTAATAAATTCAGCAAGAAAAACTATTTCCAAGAAGAAAAAGCTCTCAAGACAAAGTTTTTGAGCCAAAACCAAGAGAGTCCCTGAAGGCTGACATTGCATTTTGAAGCAATGCCCCATTATGATGACAATGTTAATTACACAGCACACATTTTAGGCTACAACTATAACTTAAAGAAAAAGCAGCAAAGAACAGAAATCTTCCAAGCTTGGCTTATAGCCAAGATTAAATTAAGACACATGAGATTTAATTAATTTTTTGTGGATTGTTCTCATATTGTCAATGATATTCTCTGTTGCTTGGTTTTCAGAAGTAAATGTCTGATTGAATAAGAAAGCAAATCCCCTTAATTTTTTTATTCACTTAAACACTTCCCTGTCATGATTGTTTATAGGTGTTTCAAATGAAAATATATTCCCCTAAGAATTATCCTGCAAGACACTGCAGTCAAAGTACATCTCTGGCTTCCCAGAGGAAGCTACGATTAAACCTAAGCTCTAAAATTTCTTAGAAATCCTACAGGTTTACAGGCTCACTAGGTAATACACAGGCATTATAACACTGAAAACCTTGAAATGGCAAGTATATATATTCTTAATTAAACCTAAGCAAAATTAAAAAAAAATTCAAAAATTGAAGAAAAGCATGTATTTTTTCTTAGAATACAAGAATACATGAACACATGCCAGACTCTGTACTGGACAGCTGTAATTTAGGATGACCATATTCTTTTCCACAGAAAAGAACACCTCAGATGCTGGACATCACACAGCAAACATTTATTTATGTCTATAGCTTACAGAAAGGGTAAGAAAACCAGCCTAGGGGTACAAGCAAAATTACTTTCTATGCTGAAAGGATAGATACTATAGGCAAATTCTGTCTTCTTACCATTAATAATTAGTTTAGTTGCATAAATTAAAAATAACTGAAGATTTCTAAGGGTGAATAGAACACAACTAGAGCCATTCTATCCTCTTTTATTTGCCACTGCAGTGTTTTAATAAACTTCCTCTGCTTTCTCATTTCAGGAAAAAAACTCCACAACATTTCTTATGTAATCTTCCTGTCATTATATCAAAGGAAAAACACCTGCACTTTAGTGTGTCTGCTTATGAAAAGACATTAAAAACCCCTTCAAACTGTAGGAGTGAAGCTTTATAAAATACATAATTATAAAAAGAGTTGCTATTAAAAAGTTATCCAAACTGATAACTGATTATCTGATTATGTCCAAAGAAGACACAGAATGCAAGTTATGCAACACTTCTACTATAAATGCAGGAATAAAAATATCCAAAAGCAAATCTGTAGAACAGAACTGCGAATGTAACTTTTAACTTGCATTTGGATGATGTATCAAATGTTGGAAACTTAAAAACTAGTGACAAAAAGACATAGTCCTTTTAAGAAAGAAAATTGGAACTTAAGTAAATTCATTCTCCAATCTTGTATTTCAAAATACTCTACTTGCCATTTCATATAATTAATAGCACAAATACATAGCAAATCACAAGAATTTGAAACTGCAATGATTTGTATTATAAACCATTTACATAGAAGTGTCAACATTTTTCACTTCAGCTGAGCCTCATCTCCACATTTTAATGCATAGAAGCTCTAGAAAGACTAAATATAGAAGCTAACAAATACAACAAGAAAGAGACTACAAGTCTATAATCCCCATGTTAGAAAAAATTAATAGCAATTACTTAGAAATACAGAATCTCTTCTTCTTCATCAAAATCAAACAACCCTACTGCATTATATAACTCCTAGAAACAAAGCTGTGTTATGTATGTTCTGCATTATTACAAAGTACTTTTCAAACATACGGTATTGCCCTGTGTTAGTATGATACAGGCTGGTTGGCATGGCCATTGCAGAAATACCAGAAGGCGTTCCTTCATCTTCTGACTTCTCTTCTTCTTCAATCTTCGATACTGCAGGAGCATCTGAAGAGAGCTCATTCAAAATTTTTCTAAAAAAAGAATGTAAGTAATTTTATGTACTTAAAAATCTATACCCATAAGAAAATCAAATAAATTACTTTTATCAGACAGTTTTGCTGTAATAAATAAGCTGCCTTTACAGCTTATTTATACAGCTAAGGATTAAAAGTCCTTACCGGTATGAAGGCCTTCTTGAAAGTATTTCCCTACGTTTTTGAGAATCAATTATCACTTCTGAATGTGCAGCTTCATCTGCAATCGATGCTACCTGTAATAGCAAAGTTCCTGAAATTCATAACTCCATTAAAAAATAAAGCAGCAGAGTAAAATATTTTTAAAAATTCCTTCCATGTTTACATATGGGAAGTTTGTTGACTTATTTATCACTAATCATGTGATTTTGGACTACTTTTTCCAATACAAATGGCAAATTCTGAGATTACCAGACATAGCCACTCAGAAAACATCTTCCATTTGAAAAAGGGAAAAGTCAATATAATCCAGGTTACTTTTTTTGTGAATGATATTTTGAAAAACAAATAGAAATGGATTTCTTTAAATATAAAAATATTATACAATTTAATTAGCTCTTAAAAGTGATCTCAGACATCTAAAATACAGAACACTGTGCTAATATGCCTTAAGTAATAGTACAGAATATAACAGTTTCTTCACACCACACCAAAGCTATTTAAAAAATAACTTCATTTAAATATACACATTTATTAGACTTACTAACACATTCATAAATACAAAGACATTGCTTAGTGATGTTGTATGATTTTTGGAAATGCCTGAGAAGTCCACAGCACATCATCTTCTCAGACTTGTAGTATTTTCATATATTCTTCTTCTCTTAAAATTACCCCAGACAACATTAAGGCCTAGAGCTGAATCACACTTTTGACCAGCACCTATCTTACTACACAGAACTGAAAGTCCTTATTGAACAAGGAAAAGGCATTATTTTCTTGGATTCTTTTAACTACTCAGAACTTTTGCTGTATTGGGATTTTCAAATTTAAACAATGTGAAAACATTTTCACATGAAGATAGACCAGACTGCAGTTTCAGATTAAGCACTTTGTTAAACTAACACTGAACAAACATGATATAAGAGACTAGAAGACTTCAGGTGTTTGAACCAGCCTCAGTGGAAGCTCAGGAAATACAAGGAAGAGTTCTAGAATCAGTGCATCTGCCAGACCTCAGTGTTTGGTACTAGAAACAAAATCTGCTGTCCTCAATAGAAAATGACTGTCTAGAAGGTTCTGGAAATTTATAGGCCTGGGTCAACACAACTCAAACCTGTAGAACTATACCTTGAAGGAACTGTTGTTTATTGCAGAACAAAATTGTTTCTTCACTTATTAATTTTATTACATTACACTTCTGTGTAAAAATATTGAATGTAGCCTCATTTTGCTGGGTAATATGCAACAAACGTTAGAACTCTGTGTCTGACACCTAGGGGATAAGAGTTACTTCTGCATGTGTACAGATGGATAACTCCAAACCAGACATCAGAGCTGACTGCAGAGATACAGGTGCTTTAAGAAGTTTGTATTCCTCCTTTTGCAGGACAGATCAATGCTGAGCAGCAGAGAGAAATCCTGAAAGACATTTCCCTCTCAATATGCCTTCAGCAATCTCCTTATGGATTGACCTTCAAGCTCTGGCATAATCCTTCTAAAGTAAGATAATATTGCACAGCCAAGAAAGAGCCTGGGCATCCTAACTCAAAACAAAATTTTCATTCTGCTGGGGCATGGAGGTTAATAAATGATCTATTTGTCCCAGAATAAATAGCTCAAAAACAAGACCTCAGTTGTCTTTAAATAGTCATATTCCCCTAACAGCTACCAACAGACCTCCTAGTTCGTGGAGATGGCTGAAGAAGTTTGGAACAGTGATACTTCAGGAAGAAGGTAAGGAAATCACAAGATGATTCAAGCATTTTAATATGTGTATTGGTTTTGCACAGCCTGTTTTTTAGTAGCAGAGGGGCCACAAAGGTGACTTCTCTAAGAAACTGCTAGAAGCTCCCATGATATCCATTAGAGCCAATCTATGATGGCTCTGCAGATGGATGCGCCACTGGCCAAGCCTGGGCCTATTAGAGATGGTTATAATGCTTCTGTGTTAACATATCCAGGAAAAAATCAAAAACAAAGGTTGGGGGTACAGTTTCAATTCAAGCCAGGAAAGCGTAGGAGGTGAGAACACATTATGGAAACAACACAGAGATACCGAGGTCAGTGGAGAAGGAGGAAATGCTCCATGCGCTGGAGCCAAGATTCCTCTGCTGGCCATGATGAGGACGATGGTGAAGCAGCTGTGCCCCCGCAGCCCACAGATCCACGATGGATGCAGAGATCCACCCACAGCCCGTGGGGGACGTGCTCATGTTAGAGTGGATGGATGCCTGCAGGAAGCAGTGGTCCAGCGGGAGACCCAGAGAGAGACAGGTATTGGTTCCAAGTTGGAACAGCCTGTCCTTGGAGGATTGCACCCCGTAGGAGAATAATCCATGCCACAGTAGTTTTGGGAGCATGGTTTGCCCATGGCAGTGACTCACATTGCAGCAGTTTTGGGAGGATTGCTGCTCAATAGATTGTAGCCACGCTGAAGAAGTTAATGGAGAACTGTCTCCCGTGGGAGGGACTGCTCAGTCTCACTGAGGAACAGCTTCTGTCCCCATGCAGCCGGGGAAAACCCTGGGTGATGAACTGACCAAAACCCCCACACTTTGTCTCCCTGCACTGTCAGTGGGAAGGAGGGAGAGACTGGGAAAAAAAGGTGTTTTTAAGGGCTTATTTTACTTCTCATTATCCTGCTCTGATTTTGTTAGTAATAAATTCACTTTATATCTTCAAGCTGAGCCTGTTTTGCCCTTGGAGTGTTTTCTCACAGTCCGTATCTCAACTCGTGAACCCTTTGTTAAACCTTCTCTCCACTGCCCAGCTGTAGCTGGGAAGGGTGAGTGAACAGCTTTGGTGGGTGCCTGGCATTTGGCAGCGTGGTGTCAAACCACTACAATATGGAAGAGGACATTCTCTGCAAGAAATTTCAAAAGCTTTCATTTTCATCACGACAAAGAGAGAAATGAAGACTTCAGCTCACTCTAATGGCAAACAACCATGTCCGTAATGTTAACAAGCAAACCATTTTTTCATGGACGTCAATCAGATTTCAACTTTACCTGTTTCAACTTCATCTGCATTTGAACAAATTTAACTTCAAACATAACTTCATGTTAAGACTTTCCAAGACCTGATACACTACAGGGGGGGGAGCAAGCAATAAGTCAAATAACAATTTATATCTTCCTACAATAAAACAACATTTAACAAAGCAATAAGGAATGCTGTAAATGTATTTTTTCATCTAAAAAGCAACAGCATTATGAGAAAAACTTCTGAGCACCTTCCAGTTGAAAATGGCAGATGTGTGAGGGAGAGGTCATGCAAGGTTCAACACCAACCTCCAGCATACTTCTTTATTTCTTTTTTAAACTGATTTAATTTCCCAAGTTCCCCACTGTCTGGCAGAGGGAAGGTAGCAAGTTGAAGCCAAATGATCTGGAGGAAATGACAGATGGAAGGATAGTGTACTGAAAAGGATCACAGAAGGGCTGAACACTCTCTGTAATGGAGTCTTCTATAGCATCTTCAATCCCTTTCTTATCCAGATGAAACCAAAGCAAAATCCTGGAACTAACTAGTCAGTATTAATTGGGACAAAACTTTCCTGTTTCTACTCCTTTGGGAAAGGGTGGACAGCCAGAGTTCACTCAATACAACAAATAGTTGACTTCCACTCTCTTAAGATGACACAGCAGCAGCTGGCAAGAGATTCCTGAGAAACTTCTCCCTCTGAGCTTTGAAAAAAGTCCTCTATCTTTGCATGCATGCCCTGACTACACTGACTTAAAGAAAAGCAGTGACAGAAACAGAATTACTAATGTGCCTATTGAATAAAGGTTACTCAGGAAATTTACAGTTAGAAAGAATTCCAATGAAAAAGGGTATTTACTTTGAATACTCTGTTCTGACTCCAAGTTTGATCAAGTACTGACATCTACTGCACTTCTTTCAATGGTGATCTAGGATTTCAAAACCTTAAGGTGTCATCATCTATGTGATGCTGCTCAACAATTAAATTTTCACTATCTGATCATGGTTTTATTCTTTTTCTCAGATATAAATCATATATATGTCTTTTTATTTATTATACTAGAAAGTTACTAGAAGCCTCTAACATTAAAGGCTTCTCAAGACTGACAATGCATGGCTTTTCCTTAACATGTTGCAATGGCCACAGGTAAACCCCTTCCCTCATAACAGGGAGAGGCATATCACCTCTCTTACCAGAAACATCAATTGTATCAGCAAAAATCAATTCAGTTGACATTTCCCAAACAGATTTTAATAAAACTACAGCAGAGGCCCTCCTTGCTACAAGAAAACAAACACCAATGAGAGGCCTAGGAATTTTCAAGACACTGCAAATTCATTTTCTCTTGCCTTTTCTACTTTTTAAAAACTCTGAAAAGTCTTACACATTTTGCACCAATTCCTGTTTTCTAGTTCCAGCAAGTTCAAACATGTGAACATTTGCCACATAAATGTTTGTTTTGAGGCTGCCCGTATTTTTGGTATCTACGTACCTACAACCACAAAAAGCAATACCAGATGCTCTAACAGGGTCTGATAGGGCTTAAAAACAAGGAACCACTTGATATAATATGCTTACTTCTACTACATCTAGACCCTCTCCAATAATACAATAGGAGATATGTGAAAATTTATGAGTTCATAGTCTCATTAGAAATACTAGAAAGTATTTTCATAGAATTTAACGAAATACAAAAACTGCAGGATACACTGAAGTAAGGCCATGTTACGACACAAATTTGCTATTGCGTAAGTTCAGACTCAAGTTCCAAGACAATTTCTTGTAAGATAAACAGGAAGCATTAAGGAATTGCTTCACAATGCTTGTAGTGCTGCTGCTGGTTGGATGTTTGCCACCTTTCCCCCTGCTGTTTCCTGCACCATCTGAGTAAATCTTGCAGCACTGGTTGTAATGGAGAGAAACTGACAATCGGTTGGATTATGAGGTACCAAATATTCATGAAAATGTAACAATAAAAAAGCTAACCTGAATAGCTTGCATATGTGGTGACTGAATGACTGAGGGCTGTGTGGCTTGAATAACACCCTGGACATGAACAGTTTGACCAGAAGGCAACTGCACTAGAGTTACAGCTGGAGATCCTCTTCCAGCACTGGAAGCAGCTACAGAAACCTGCAAAAATTACAATCATCATGTTTAAATAAGACGCCTTAAGACTTCAGCAAATGCTTTTACAAGTGATAGCTAAAATAAACTGATTTTGTTGCCACATCTAAAATAGCTTAGATGCAGATAATTATCAAACAAAAATAAATTAGTTTTACTAGTAGAAGTTTGGCATGTAACTCTCCAAATGGTCTGTAAATCTTAAAACTGTACCCTAACAAACTACAATTATTTGTTTTTTCCTCCAGAGACTTTGTATTTTCTTTTCAATCAAAAAAAAAACCCAACCCTCGGCCATCACACACCAAATCTGCAGTTGCTAGCATGAAGGTCAGGAAGAACCTCCAGAACCATAACAAAATTCATGCATATTCACTGGTGTGGAATGTCTGCAACAACATAAAGGGCAGAATGTTCTTAAGAAAAAAAAATCTAGAACTGCTTTAGTTTTGCTTTGCTGAATAGGTAAGAAGTTATGCTTTTTAGATGGATGTCTCAAGAGACATGAGAATTCTTCAGATAGCAAAAAATCACCCTGTTAAATACAGCCATACAAGGTTTTGTAAATTGATTTAGTTTGTATATAATTATATATATCAAGAAAAAGAGCTGGAGTATGTCAGTGCTTCAAAACAACAACAAAACTAAAGAATAGCTGAATTTCCTTGAGCCTAGCACAGCCATAGAACAGCTCTCCCCAGCCTGTGGCTCTCAACCCTCAGTGCTGAGGACGAATGCATTGAGAAACAGCTTAACACCTATGGGCTAAGAAACGGTTCAATATTTCTGCTATTACTGTTAAATCTATTAGCAGAAACAAGTAGTGATGCAAATGGAAAACACTACAATTGATCTCAACTTGTGTGATGAAACATCTCTAAACTCAGAAAAGGAAGACAATGACAAATATAAACCATATCATAAAAAGAAATACTGTGGTTTTCAATTAAACTGCATTCAAAAGCCTTATTTCTATATTCTGCACATTCAACAATGAACTTGGACTCAAATATAAAATTCTGTTATTATTCCCTTCTTAGCTTTGTTCTCAGCTCCAAAGGTATCTGGTAAGAGCAGTAAATGTAAAATAAGATGAGAGTAAGAAGAAAAACATGAAGAATGCTGAATATTTAAAAAGAAAAAAAAAAGAACAGTTAAAGAAACTTTTGTAATTTTTATGTATTTACACTGAAGTGGTCTTTTTTAATCCAAATATAAAAGTAGTTTTCATTCCTGATCCATAAGATACTGCTTGTCTAGTAAATAATTCCTTGAAGCAAGTGAAAAATTTTAACTACTATTAAGTTGCACTGCTACCAAAAAGTCCTGATATTGGTTCAAATTACCTCGAAGAAAAAATGTTTCTAGGAAACAAAGACAAGATCTTGTCAACATTCACTATACAACTATTCAATGTTATAGGAAACTGAACCATTTCAAAAAACAGAACAACTGAGGGCATTTTTAACCCTGAAATGAGTTTCTTAAACAATTCCTTAAATGGTATGAAATGGTAACAGGGAAATAGGACATACAAACCTTCTTCCCAACCTATTCAACAAATACTAATACTATGAGAAATTTGTCAGAAATAGATATTTGATATTAAACTCTAAAATCTCAAATTAAAGATTTGAGATTTTATGAGATTAGTCTCAAATATCTGAAGAGTATAATTTACTATGTGGCAAAGCTTACCAAAGCTTCAAGGAGCCATCACAGAGCAGACTAAGTGTTTACAAAGCATGCTAACTTTTCAAAACGTTATAAAAGCAATTTCACCAATTCGTTCCATTTACTGCTCTTTTTGTGAGAATTGCAATTTGGTACAATACTCAGTGCGTCAGAAATTAACTTTCTGAGTAAAACTGCCATGAAACAGTAAAAGGCGAACAGTTTAGAAGTTTGTTGCTGGTACACAATGGGTCAGTCAAACATAATCAGGAAATAATCCAGTACTTGAGATTAAGAAACTACATTCATTTTAAAACTCCCTATTCAGTACAATCCCACAGGGAAAAAAAAAAAAAAAAAAGAAAAAAAAAAGAGAAAAGAAAAAAGAGAGAAAACCTCACTCAGCTAATACTCCTTTGGACTAAAGTTTACAATTTGGCAAGAAATTTTTATATTACCATTAATTCAGGTATGAAAATAAATGAAGGAGGCTAAGTGCTAAGGGAAGAGGAGATGGTAGTATTATATAATTTTCAAGGTTCATATTCTGCATCAGTTTTATAGATATTGGAAATTATTATTAGAATTTTGATTCAGATTTCTCTTTACAGTTTTCAAGCTGAATATTCCTGTGTCAACTGAAATACTAGAACATTTTCATGCTATCATGCATAAATCCTGACTGAAACAGACTTGGCAAAGAAATTTCTTTCTGACATCAGTGATGAGCAATGCTACCTTTAACATTATTACTTCAAGGACTGTCTGGCACAGCAACTGAAAACAAGCCACAAAAGCAACTCAGGAACACAGAGGCTGAAGGGAAGCTTAACACGTTCTATGGGTTTGATGCTCCTAGGCATGCAACCATCATGTCCAACAGCTTCAACAAATATCAACCCATAATAGCAGTATGGTCCCATATTTCAGATATTTGGAAATGTAAGTGCTCTCTCTTCTATGTGGGGAGAGAAAAGTAGCCAGCAAGAACAATCAGGTACTACCTTCCTAATAAGGCACACACCCATGCAGAGAAAGAGGCTGCCCGTCACTTATCTAACTTCAAGATACATGGTCTATCTGAACAGTTATCCTGGGGACCCTGTGAATGTCAGATATCCTTTCCCTAAGGATAGGATAAGTACTATTACCTTCACATTCAACCCCTCATACCTTCAACATTGCCAAATGAAGAACACAGGACACAGGCCCATCTGATTTCTGCCCCTGCTGTAGACTCTAAATACTACGAGGACTCTAAAAGTAAAGTGAAAAGTAATTCTAGAAAAGTCAAGGCAAATACACACTGGATTCACCTAACAAAAGAACAAAGGACCTGCCACGCTTGGGCACTGAGTAGCCTCTATGAGGAAAAGCTGGAGACAGATGTTTTGATCAGTTCCAAAGCTACTGCCAAAATAGAAGCACCTACTTTTAAGGAAAATAAGGTTAGGCTGAGTCCAGACATGTTGGTGCCACCATGCGCTTCAAGAGAGCACAAAATGGTGACATAGCTGCACATTTATAATTCTCTAGCATCAATTTTGGAAAATGGCCAACATCTGCATTTGGCAGGTTGGTTTTAGAGCCTTACTTACAACAGCCTAGCAAACTATCAGTCTCAATCCCTAGGGAGCAAGATTTAACACTGTTTGATGTCAAGAGCCCACAAGGACAATCCCCCGCAAAGTGCTAAACTTGAGCAGTCCCAGCTTACAATAAGCTACGCACTCCAGGCTCTGAAAATATCCCTGAAAATCTCCCTATGCTCTCTGACAGCAGTTCTCACATTGCAAACCCTGACATATGTCTAATTCAGGGCCAGCACCAAGAGGTCAACAAATGGTATCTCAGACAAGGTCAGCAGACAGCCCTACTGACAGACAGTAAAGTTAACAAAAAGTGAATCAAAGAGGTAGAGCGAATCAAGATGCAGGATTAAAGAAAAAAGAAAACACTACTGAAAGTGTTTTTATCAAACCTGAGAAAGGCTAAAGTACATTGTTATATTTAGTGTAGCTGAGCACAGAGCAATGCAGAATGCAGTATGGCTTCCAGAAATCCTGCAAAAGGAATGACTAATTTCTCTTTGAATACCATTGCAGATATAAATGTTTCAAGATGTAAGTTTGACTATCATCAACACTATCAGGATATTCCAACACAAATTAACTTCTTTTAAGTACAGCTCTATGTGTAGAAACAAATGATCTGTGCATGCAAGACAACCCATGAAGCTCATCTCAAAACAGGCTGAGAAATTTTCCATCTTGCACCTCTGCTCTTCCCTCAAGGCCATCAAGCTTTTGTACTGGTGTTCTGCACATTTTCAACCGCTTCTAAAGACAGCCACCAATAATTTTACTTTCTTACCTATTTATTACAGTGGCTGGATCACAAAAAACATTACCATGTCAATTCATCAACTGGCTAAAAGTGATGGATGCAAGAAATAACATCCGTCTGAAAATGATGAAAAATCCATCCACAGAAATGCTATAAACTGATTCTATAGGAGGACATTTTATTTTAAAAATAACCATTTAATGGACAAAAAGTACATCCAGTTTTTGCTAGTTTCAAATTTTCTCATTTTTGCTTTAGTATAAAAAGTAATTTTACTTTCAGCACCAAAAAATTGCAAGAGAATATAGAAATGTCTATGACACAAGCTAAGAAAATAGTGCAAACACTATTTTTTCTCTATAAATGATTTATAATAGGCCCTTCTTCGCTTTGGAGGTTATCCCCATCACGACATAAAGCTCTAGCCCACACATTCTTAATGTCTCCTCTCTCTCCCAACAGGGGAGACATTAAAAATGCTTCAGCACAAAACAAACTCTGCCCTCTAGAGATTATCATCTTATGGAGTACCTGATCCATCCTTTAAAACTAAATAGCAGGTATTTCTTTTAAAAGCCTAGAGAGGAGGGGAAAATAAGTCAGCTTCTTCCCCCCGCCAAGAAGAAGAAAATAAAAGGTGCTCACCTCCTATGTAGTTGAATCCCTCAGCATTTTGCTAGTCACTCCCTGGCCAAAGTCATAATTCAATTAAATATCAAGCACATTAAAAACCATTACATTCCATCTGGACATAAAAACTCCACCTGTTTTACTGGAAGGGTAGTCACCTGCTGGTACAGATGCCCAGAGAGGTTCTAGAGACTCCATCCTTGGAGATATTTATAACCCAACACAGTTCAGACTGACGCTTCTTACACAGGCAGGTCAGACTAGATAATCGTAAAAGGTTTCTCTCAAGCTTGACCTTTCTACAATTATTTCTTTGATAATACACAGAAAACCCCAAATTAAAAGACAATATATTAAAATGTTTTACTTCTGACTGACAAAAACCAAGGTTGAACAAATATTTTGCTAGAAAAAACACAAAGCTGCCATCCCCCCCCACTCCCTTGGAGATATCTGAAAAGGAGCCCTCAGTTTCAGTGACCAGGCATTTTAGCTCTCAATAAGAATCAAGTCATTCTTTTCTCTTATTTCTGTACATTTGCCACAAAGTCAGTAAGAGGGATGACTGGAAGTTGGCACAAGATATTTCAGTCACTTGTAGTGTTGTCTTCTCTTAACTGCACTCCTCCACAGGCCAAAGAAGGAGAGAGGTCTGTACTCCTCTCTAACAGTCAAAACACACAGGCACTGGACCAGTGGCACAGCCATGAATTCCTCAGAAACACAAGAACTTCCCATCTGGACCACCACAAAACCAGTCAGATGTCCCATACAGGGGCCTCCGGTGGGCTTTAACCGCTCAACACCCAGGCCCAAGTCTCCATGAGAAAGCGCCTCACCTTCCAAGCCAGCCAGGTAGGAACACAGACTAAGAAAATCCTACTCATCTTAAGCCAAAGGAGCGTCTCAACAAAGCCTGCCAGCGATCAGTGTTCCGTCTGGGCAGTTTTAGCACACCAAATGCTGTGGCAGAGCAGCCTGAAGGCACTGAGGGCATGTGAGGGCTGCAGGCTGCAGGAGCCAGAGGCTGAGGAGATGGGCACAGGCCTGGAGCCCTCGCAGCTCCCGGAGGCCTCGGAGTGGGACAGGAGCACCAACCCTGCTTGTCTGGCAGCCCAGGAGAGGGAGGTCAGCTCCAGCTACCTGCACCGAGCAGCTCTGACATGTCCAGGACAGCTCTCTGAGACAAAAAAAAGGGACTCCAGATGCCAACTCTGGACTGGTACACTCAGCCTTCAAACTGAGGTATGTGTTTTGGTTTAGCATTAATTGAAGGAGATTCATCAATACTTCAGTTACTCACTTTAACTGGAAGATATGAGACTATATAGCTAGCTGAACCTTCACACACAGTACTCAAGCATTAAATGCAGTCAAACATGAAAAGTGTTATACACTGCATAATATAGGAGTGCAAAATTCTCCTACAGCATTAGTGACATCTTTGTCTCTGGATCAACATTAAAAATCCCAAGTGACAGAATTCACAGCTGTCTTCTCCAGAGACTATTACACAAGCCTATAGATTTTACACATCAATCATCCTATGAAGTTAAAACAGAAAATTTGAACAGAACTACTAAAAAAGAAATGAGGGGATGACATCAACAGAGCAAACAAAACAAAATTCTTAAAGAAAAAAAAAGAAAAAAAAAAAAGAAAAAGCTGCAGAAGCAATATTCCTAATGCTGTATGTATCAAAACCAACAAAAAAAGGTTGATAAATATTTTGCAGTCTACTTTGTGTCTAAAGATCTGACAAAAAGAGCAGCTGCTTTCAGTTTTAAAAATATATCTATAATGTGAATAAAGTATCTAACACACCAAATACATGGCATCAGATCTTAGCAAGTAACTTCTAACTTCCAATGATGAAAAAATTCTGTAAGACGTTTTTTAAAATCAGTTCTTTTATCTAACAAACTATTTATTTAACTAACTTTTAAGTGGTCCATACACTTTTCTGAAGCTGTTAATCTTGGTACTATCAGGAATACTATTTCTCTCAAGTGCCAAATGTTTCAGTACATATTTTTAATGTTTGAGAATTGGTACTATATAATCTTTTATCTATTAACTACCAAAGAATAATCCAGGTAGAGCAACCGTAGAAAACATGTAAAGTATGCTTTTAGAAGCCTAAACACTGTCATTGGATACACAGGGATGAAACAAAACAAGCACACATTAAAAATGTACTGGCAGTTAGATGAAATACATTCTGTACAAAAACTGGAACTAGGAGAGAACCATGGTTATTTTTATTCATGTTTTCATTTTCGTTATACAACACATCTTCAAGATACACAAATGGTTTAGATATGTTTGATCTTGTAGCCACCACAATTCTTTAAGACTGTATCCCATCTCTGTAACAACCATCTTGTGAACATAAAAGGAAAAAACCCGTGTATCTACTGATCACCCTTGTCCAAAAGGGCTCCTAAAAATGTTACCTGTTAACAGACCTGATGTTATATTAGTCTTTTGTTAACTACTGAAGGCAGTTTCCAGTATACCTTTGCTATATTTTTCCTACTTAATACCAAGATTTATAAAACATAAGAATGCCATACAAACTGATAGTTTAAAAACCATAGCAGCTCTGAATATCACTTCATTGATTCTTCTGATCTTTCCACATTTCAACTTACCTCAGATCCTGAGGAAATCTGACTTTGGCCTGGCTGATTCGGAAGGTGACCAGCACTTCTCTCTGTAATAGAATCCACTGCATTGTCATCCTGTTCAACCATTTCCATGGTCATCAGTCTAAAAGTAAGTACATACACATTTAAATAACTCAGTACAGGCAGATATATCAGGCAGCTAGGGAGAATAATGCCAAACTATTTTATACTTCAAACAGACAGAAAATAAATATGTTTCTGTCAAACTGAAGTCCTTTCTTCATTCCCCTGTATTAAAATATTCACTCATATAGCTAGAAGCTCTAAAACAAGTATTTTGGAAAGCTGCAGGGAGTTCTGGACATGGTTCTCAGGGAGGGACAAGCAGAGTCCCAGGGTCACATGCAATGTTGGCAGTGCTGCCCACAGAAGGTCCCTTTAGCCCCAAGCTGTCCAGCAGCCATGGGCTGCTACAAGCCCTCTTCAATCTTCCAAGATACCTATTCCCTGCAAGCGTCTACTCTTGAATTGTCTGTAAATTATTCACGGCTCAAGAGTCACAATTCTTCTCACTTTAAAGGTTTAAAAGTAGGGTAGATTTCATTGAAAAATAAGCAACTTGCTGACCCTCAATTTAAACTAAGACTTTAAACTTCATAGAGCTAACTTCCAAATCTGCTAAATATCCGCTATATAAAAATGCAATTACCTGACTCCTTTTCGATATTTCTTGGCACACTTAGTCATAATGGAAGGTGTGAGTTTTAAAACAAGAGCTTGGATCTCTTCGGCTCCCTTTCTCTCCTACCAAATCCTGCACTGAAGGTGCAACATTGAACAGGTGATGTCAAACATTGCCATGGTAACAGGTCAGTTTACAAACAGAACAGAGACAGGATAGTGTCAGGCAGAGGCAGGCAGGATGCCCTGCAGGCACGCTCCCACCTACACCCTACTTACACAACCAATTGACAGCCGCAAAAGGAAGACATTATATTAGTTGAGGTATTTAAGAGGCAGCAAATCTCGGTTCCCCAGGTTCAGTTTCTGTAACCAGGGGACGCCAGGCCTGACTGAAGTCAAAGTTCAATTCTTTCAACTGGCTGACAGTTACTTTGGTTTCTTCTCAGGACTTACACTGAGAGCTGCAAGAGGCAGTCAAGAACTGCTACCCACCTGACTCTGAGTCTCTGGAATTTAGTCCTACAAGCTGTAAGTTAACTACATTGAATCAAATTAAATGTAAACAAAACTCCTTTTGCGGCACTATTTTACAGAACATTCCACAGTCTTTGAAGAGAATAAATTTTATTGTTTCTTTAAAAATCAAATTTTTGCCCAAAATAAAGGCATGAAAATATGAAAAGATGCAGAGAAGCATATTTCGAGCTCATATGCCTTCAATGGTACTGTACTGACAAGACTTAACAGTGCTACAGCTAAAGGTAGCCAAGTTGCAAAACAATGCAATATTTTATGAGTTAACATGAGTATTTCTGCTCAGAGAAGTTATGTACCCTATGCCAGTATTAATTCAGATTAGAGTCATAGGGAGCTATTTTACACCTAAAATTTTTCTACATTTTTGTCTTGCTAGTTACAACTAATTATCTTTCTCTTTAGCTACAATTTTATTAAATATCTACTGAAATTCACCAAAGTCTAACAACTCTGAGGAAAATATTGTCACCACACTTTTCACCATAAGTTCCTATAAGAAGATGTTATCTAGTTAAACTATTCTTGTTTTATATATGTACAATATAATAACAATAATAAAGTAGGAAAGAAAGTTCTTCCTTTGTAAACAAGGGCCACCCATGAAGTCTCAAATATGAAGGTCTATATGGTTCATGAAGAATAAGCTTCAGAATAGCTCACACACCACGAAAGATTAATGCATAGGTACTGGCAACATATTAATTGTAATCTCTTCCTGAAGATAGGAATATAGTCAAAAATAATTAACTTTATGAAGGCCCTGAAGTATTTTTGCATCCAGAGCCATCCGTCACAGAAAACCTACTGTTGAAAAAAACACCAAAAACAAACAACAAAATACGCAAGTACTTTTCTTCCCACTGAATGTATTTCATAGAATTTTTACCCAGAAAGAGCCATTTTTCATCACGGAAAAGATTTTGTTACTAATTTTTAGCTTAATTTCTCACTGATTGCAGAACAGCATAAAAATGTACTTATTTCTACTAATTTATCAGGATTTTTCTCCCCAAGACTCTTCACCTGCAATGCTGCACTAAGTTAGCAAAAAGCTACCAAAAAAACATCAGCGCAGCAGAAAATCAGACAATGTCACTCCTCCTATTTTGCAAAATGCAATACAGAGAAAGGGGTGTATTTTTTGATTCTTTAATTAGAAAAACAACAGCAAGAACTATACATGTCAGAGGACTGACAAACATAATTAAGATTTATGATATAAATGGAAAACTCTAGAATTTATATATATTTTCCATCTAGAATTGTGTATATTCTGATTTGTAATACAAATTATTGCTTAATTGAAAACTTTTGCAGGGTGGAGTAAAGTCTGAAAATTTGCCATAAAATGCAATCACTTCTCTGAAACATAGCAAAATACCTTTCCTAAATAAGCTCAAACCTGCTTCTTTTTGACAACCTCTGTGACCAAATAGTGACTTGACTTAAAACCACATCCAAATATAAAGATTCAAACACAGCCTAAAAAAAAAAAAAAAAGAAAAAGTATTTGAGTAATTTTAAAAGGTTCACGAGCTATCTTGGTATAAAATTTCAGTGAGAAAGATGACTTAAGACAAACTGTAGCACATTAGTATCACAATTCAGACATGTTACAAGATTAGGAATCTTCAATAGACATAACCATGGGATCACTGAACTGGCAGGAGCAGGTCAGCTGCAGTCATTTGAGCCGACAGGGTCAGAGGTGGCACAGTCACACTGAGCTGTGCCAGGTCATGTGGGCTCGTACACAGCTCAAGACCAGGCATGCCAAGGAACTCCTGAATTTCAGACTCTGTTGTCACAGTCTTCAGAGCACTCTCATAACCTGAATTATACAGGGTTTTTATTTCCTGTACTATGTATCATGTCAACATGAATGCATCAAACTATTTAATAAATACACAGAAAAAATAGTGAGCAATATTATAACTGTGCTTTTTCTGAAACATCAGTAATGCAGACTGTGGCATGAAACCATTACTAATCCAATTCAGAAAAGTTTTCACTCATATCACACTCATCAGTCTGCATTGCAAGCAAATTCTAACGCATTCATTGCTTTTAAGTTTTCAAGAAAGATAAACAGAATTTTCCATCAAGCCTTTAAAATCCTTTATAAAAGTCTATCAGTAGCAGTACACATCACACTTAAAAGCTTACATTACCTTCCTTCTATTTTTAAAGGAAAACTAAGCAAATAGTCTAAAGTAGGTGGTCTTGGGTCCTGTTTAGAATCATATAATGTTTTTCTTCATTGTATGACTAATTATATACACATTTTAGTCTAATACTCAGTACTAATACAATTTTTTTCTTATATTTTTTATCTTAGTTGCTTACAATAACTTTAAATACTAGTCTGGATTTTCAAATTAATAAACAAGTTATACCTCTACACCCACATAAAAAGGGGACAAAAATGGCTTTCCGTAATGTAAACAAAGATACCTGCTTCTTCCTACAACATTGCAAAGAGATCTTCCGGATCTGGCAGGAAGTTTAACTGTTACCCAACTAGCAACATTTCAACATATCTAAGCACATGTTTACTGTAGTCACTGAGACTAATGGAAAGCAGGCCAGTAGCAGATAAACACTGATCAAGATAATGCATACAGTGGAAATCAAAAGCTTCTTCAACTGCAATCAGAAGAACCACCCCTGACAGGAGAAATCTGACAGACGGAATCAGCTAGAGGAAACCAGAATTTTTTTCCTAGAAAATTCAAAGCAATTTACAGCTAAAGGTGTGAAATTTTTATATTTTTGCCCATAGGTAAGAGATGGAGAATAGCATCCCTATTAAATAACTAATTAATATAATTAATTAATAATATAATTGGTGAAATTATAGTGCAAAAGCAGATTGCTACAGTATTTTATATAACTGGAAGTGTGTGACTATCTAAATAAATACCCAGAGACATTTTAAAAAACAACTTTTTTATTTCAACCATCCTTTATACATCAGGGACTGCTTACAAAGGTGGTTTGATACAAAGGAAATCAATCGTAAGGGGCTGAAAAATATGTTTCAGCCCTTGTTTCAAACCTCTTTAACGACTTTTATTCACAGGGGAGCTGCTAGAAAGCAAGAATGCGAATTTACAAACACCTGTTTTGCATTTATTGATGGCCCCACAGTGAGTGTGGAAACTGTCGGAATGCACTCGTTTCAGAAGAGCACTGTATTTTCGAGTATAAACTCTGTAATAACTCTTTTACCACCCTGGTGGCATGAAGGACACCAGCTGATAAGGTGGTCACAGAATTCAGTCAAGTAAAATGTGCAGCAGCACAACAGACCCGATTTTGAAAGTGCAAACTTTCAGTTTTCAGTAGCACCAGAGCTTCATCACTAAGTTTCTTGTGTCCCCTACACTCTCAATATTTCCCTGTTTTCTTCCCTGAACACTAAACCCCAAAATCTTAAAACCCCAACGTGGCATTACTCTGAGCATAGGCAACGCTACCCGGCCACTCGGCACCTGCCGCCTCAACCATCCTGACGGTGCAGAGCCGGCTGTGAGAGGACACACGGCTCCCCTTTACAAGGGCCCAACCAGCCCCTGGGTAGGCCAGAGGATCAACCACCAGCTCCCGTGGAATTGCTCAACACGCGGCTGCACTCAGCACCAATAATGATGCTATCGCAGCAGTGGGGGATGCAGACGAAATGCTCAAAGTTTTAAGCAAGACTTCGGACTCACGAAGACCACTGTGATCCCTCCCCACTTGTTCTGACACAGCTTCGAAAGCCCTGTGGGCAAGGGTATAACCGGGATTAACGGACAAAGGGGTAAAGGCGACCGGGTACCCCCGCTCCCCCTGGCTGGGGCAGCCCCGCGAGGGCCCCAGGACGGGCCGTCCGGGGCGCTCTGCCCGCAGCGGGCAGGCTCTATTCCCGCTCCGAGCCGCAACGCCGGGCGAGCCGAGCCGGTGCACCGAGCAAGGGCTGGTGCCACCGCCTGCCGGAGCCCGGCGATAGCCGTGGCTCCCGGGCTGCACGGAGCCGGCGGTCCGCGCAGTCCTTCCCGGGATGCGGGGCCGCCCCACAGCGCCGTGCGGGCTCTGCGCGGCCGTCCCTGAGCACAGCGCGCTCCCGGCTGCCGACGGGGACGCGCCACCGCCGCCTCCTGCGCGCTCCCGCGGCGGGGCTAAGCCAAGCGCAACACAGCGCCCCCCGCCTGCCCTGCCCGTCCCTGCCCTGCCCACCGCGCCGCCCGCTGCCCTCCGCGCTGCCCCGCTCCCGGCCCGCGGGGGGTCGGGCTGCGCGCACACGTGTCCCCGCCCCTCCCGCACTCACCCGCCGCCCCGTACGTGCTGCCCCCGTCACAGGGGGTGGGGGGGATCGAGCCGGGCGGAGCCGCACGTCGGCCTCACGTCAGCGCTGATGCAGCCGCGCCGCCGCGGGGGCGCCGAGGAAATGGCGTCTGTGGGGCCTCCCAGCGCCAGCGGCCGCGGCAGGAGGCGGAGCCGCGCGCGGGCGGCGGCGCCGAGCGGCCGCGGGGCGCAACGGCCGCGGCGCTGACCAACCGCCGCCGCGGGGGCCCCGCCGGCGCCGCCCATTGGCCGGGGCGGGACGCGGTGCGGGCGGGGCGGCCCCGCGCTGCCGGGGGCGGGGGCGGCCGGTAACAGCCGGGGCAGCCGCGGGGCCGCCGCGCTCCCTGGGCCGCGCTCCGGGCGTGCGATAGCGGGGCGGTGCCCAGCGCTCGCCGCGCCGGCCGGGCCCCGCCGATAAGGGCGGTTGGCTGGGGCCCCCTGCAGGGTCCAGCCCCAGCTGTCCCAGCGCTGACCTAGGAAAGGGACGCGACACAACCCCGGGTTGTCCCCTGGGCGGTGCCGGAGCCCTGAGGGACGCGGAAACCTGCCCAGCGGCCGCCACGCCGAGGTGTTGCCTGCAGGTTGTTGTGTGAATCTGTTCAGTAAAAGCACGTTCCTTACATCAGTCATTCATGGTATGACATAGTACTTTACATTTATTTGGCTAAAGAAATCTGAAATTGCCAAGAGGCAACAAGAGGGAGCGACGTGCGTGTTTCCCCGCTCGCTGCCGCGGGATTACGTCCAAATATCCTGAGTCATGTTGGATTTGTGCTGTAGGTGTGAGCACGTCCTTTGCCGGGAGCGCAGGGCCCGTCAACTCAGGGTTAGTAACACTAAAATGAAATACATGAGTAAGCCATAAACTTTGTTACTAGCGGTGTTTGAACATCATATGTGTTATTGCTGCTCAGTATTTTACAAAGTAGTGTAAAAAGGGATTCTACTGAAATATATTTTAACTTGGATGTCTATACATCACTGCACGTATATTCTGAAGTTACGTAATGTATTTACACATTTTTATGTTTTGGTTTGTTTTTGGTTTTTTTTTTCATACTGTGAGAAACTACTCAGTGTGGTAAATAAACATGAAAAACCTACTAAGTTAATTGCACATAACTCATTGTGATTGAAGAATTGGAGGATGTGTGTGTCAGGATTGGTGATAAGTCCACACAGGTCAAACACTCAGTCTTATTCATGGCATGGAGAGAACCTGCGTATGGATTTCCTGTGTTTTTTTAAAAAACAAATAACTCTTATCTCTGACTTCATAAGAGATGAATCATATTTATTTGCAAAGGTTTTGCCTTTAAGCATTTAGTTCTTTAATTTGCTTCACAGGAGTTATTTATCATAGCCATCAAATTCATAATCCAGTGGAAAAAATACAGATTCTTCAATTATCACTATTGCTTGTGCAAGTTTTTTGTTTTCATCGTACATTTCCTTTCTTGAGATATCGAACACCCCCTTCCTGTTTTGAGTTCTGTTTCCCTCCCTTTGTTACGTATATATTTTGTGTCTGTTCTGGGTTTTTAAATAGGAGTTTCTCTTCCCATAATTAATTAAGAACTCACCCATTACATACACTATTGTTATGCTCATTCATTAGAAGATGTGTCAATTAAAAATATTTGTTAAAATAGTAAGATAACCAAATGAACAGGAAAGTGTTAAACTACTGAGAATTACTCTGCTGAAACCTTTGGAAGAAATTCCAATTTTGCCTTGTATACTCAAAAAGCCAAAAATGTCACTTAGGATATTAGCAGCACCTCAAAAATATTTTTGAAGGTAGAAGTCTTATTACAAACAGGAAGAAATTTCAAACGAGTGTGTTAAATAATGGAAACCACTGGAGTGAATTACCTGTAAACAAACTGAGAATTTCCATGAACTCTTAGGGCCTGGATTTGGACAAGCAGGGGTTTTTTTTAGCTTTCAAGTAAGTCATAAACAGCTTTGAAATGTTTAACTAAGAATTTATTACTATTTATACTGCTTTTCTCATAATGATGTGTATCAGAGGAGTAAGTGAGCTGCCAGAGGGACTTAGACCTTGGCGATACAAAGATGCCTAACCAGGTCTGGCTCTTGATGCAGCTCGCTGAAGTTGGTGGGCTGGAAGAGGAAGGGAATGAAAAGCAACTGTTACATTCTTACTGCAGCAGGGCTGGGGTACTGTGTTTCTTGCCTGAGGCCAGACTGACCTGTGCCACAAAAGTGCTCACTTCAACTAAAAACAGTTCTCTTTAAATTGGGATCAATTCCTGAATGAGAACCCATTTAATCTCAAACACTGAGACCAAAAGCAATCCATAAGGCCACACAAGTCAGGATTTGTCATGATTTTCATAATTTACGTAAGAACGTAAACTTGAAATCCAGACTCTTTGCTGCTATCAGAATGACTGCCTGAGTCATCTTTTCTAACTCAAAACATCTTTTTTTTTCTTTCTTTTTTTTTTTTTTAACTTTGGTGGGCAGAGCCAGTAAGTTTCTTTAAATCTGGATCAATTCTTAAGTCTGATCCACTGCACCATCACACAGAGAGAAGTACTACCTTAACCAGGGAGGGTAATAGATGAGCAGGGGGTTGGAGCAACTTCATTTGACACCAAAAGAAACATGGTCCTCTTTGCAGAGAACACAAATACTTCACCAATGCACATTACATCAGTAGGAATGCTATATGTGTAATTTTCAGATAACTGATTCTACATATGGGTCTCACAGCTGCTATCTTTTAAATAGATTTTTTTTTTAAGGGGATTGAAAGAATTTCATACATTTCAGTTCTAATCTTATGAAACACCTGTTTAGTTTTCTTGTAAGAAAGTTCATGGATTGCCTTGGAATAAACAACGACATCAAAATGGATATGCTACCTAGCTTAGTTGTCAATTTCTCTTTAATTAGAATCCAGACATCTGAACACAATACATGTAAAACTGACAGAAAAATAGACTGGTATTATCCTGTTTGAAATAATACTGATACTTACTGATCAATAATTTCACCACAGGTCTCCTCATGGACCACTCCAATTTTAGCTGATCATTGAATAACCTCTGCTCATTCACTGCCTGCAAGGAAATAGAGGGACAAGTGCAGAACTTGCAGAGTGGTCATAGGAAAGTGCTGTCAACGCACAGCCACTGATTTCACAATTTATTTTGTAAATGTGATGAAAGTCAGAAGTAGCCAATATCTGCATGCTGCAACAGAATCCTGATCAGTCTGAAACAGAGAACAGATTAGGCAAGAAGTACACTTCAATGAGTATAAAATAGAAGACTAATAATTTATTTTACCTATTCTTTTCTTTTATAAACTCCTAGCAATGCAAGAAAAATATTGTTTTCCATTGTCTCACAAATAGAAAAAGAAATGGCACACCCTTAGAAAGATAAACATTGGACAGTATTGTAAAAGGTAAAAGCTTTGTAAATATATTTTTTCAAAAGTATATAGATTTTTTTTTAAAGTTACACATCTGTGTAATTATAAATATTTTGTAATGTCTTCTTCCCTAAACTGTGTTAAGGTGAACACTGAGTGACAGTACAAGCAGTACAAGAGCAAATTGATTATCTTTTGATTCTTATTATTTGCTGCTGCCTGTCACTGGAACTTCTGAAAATCAATACTGCCTAAATTAGTGCTCTGAAAAGGCACCACCTTGACTTCTGCGGGTTGCAGAATCCAGAAGCACAGGAATAGCCTTGAGGAGTCCTAGGTCTGGCTTAGTGAGAAGCCTGGCCTAACAGCTGTGAGGCTTTGCAGTATCTCAGCTAAATCTACTTTGCCTTGTGTCATGTAAAAATAGGATTTCTTTATTTGGAAGGGTTAGATGTCATTATTGGTGGAGGGGATATCAAGCACTCTTCTGTCGCTGCCCGCTCGGCCCTTCACGCCTCGGCTAGCTCCGGCCGACGTCAGCGGCAGGAGTGGGGAACCAGGCGAGCACTGCGTGGCTCAACCTGGAACCTGCAGAGCTCCTCTGCGCTCTGGCGTTATGGCTCAAAGGGCGACACGGGTTGTGGCGAAGGGAGAAAGAGTGCTCAGGCTCTTCCAATTTCCCAGGAACAAGTTTATTCCAACAGGTGCAGGGAAAGGAGACGAGGTACGGGGCCCAGACTGCAGGAAAGAGGTCTGAGCCGAGACCCTAGGCACCTCCGTGCGCCAGGTTTTAAGGACTGCGGGCGGCCCACACAACGACCAATGGGACAGCAGCAAGGGAGGAGTTGTGGGTGGGGATTACAATGCGCAGGACCAATGGCAGGGACCCGGGGGAGGGAAGGCAGCTGTACAATCAATAGGGCATCGAGGAAGGGACGATAAGCAGGGAAAGAGCTGGAACAAAAGGTGGGGTTCGCATAGATTGACAGGACTCGGGGGCAGGGTTGGGGTGATGGATGGGGAACAATCTGGAAAAAGGGGAAGGGTTTACAAGGATGGGCAACTGGGAACAAACCATTCTGGACGACAGGGGAGCAACTGGGGTAAACCAACTCTGACCTTAATAAAACTAAACAAATCGGCGGCAACACTATTCTAGGTGCATTTTTAAAAATATCATTGTTTTTATTTTCTTGGGTTTGTAATGATTTGGTTTTGGATAACTTGTAGTAATGTTATAATACTTTATACTCCAAAGATGAAATACAAAATTTTAACATGTTTTGTTTGAGTATTGTTTGCTTTTTTTTTTTTTTTTACTTTTTTACTTTTTTAGGATTTGTAATAAGAAATTGAAGTTTATAAATACAAAACAGGTATCCCAATTCATATGCTACTGTCTGGTATGTCCTGCAGTTTGAAAGGAGGTACTTACTGATGCATCAAAACATAACAAATCAGAGTACACTAGCACCTAAACTGTGATCACTTTATTAATCACTGCTTGAACAACACAAATGGCTGAAATGATTTGTGAATGTGTATTCAGACTCTATTTCCTAATTTACCAGTCCTAGGTTAGGTCTCCAGCACTGTTGTCTCCCCACACACTGGAGCCAGAACAAACAAAACAGTGGAGAAACCTGTCAAGTCTGACAAATAACTTGACATTTATAT